TCCAGTCGGGCTGGCGCGAGGCGCGGGCGCCGGGCCGCGGGGCGGCGGCGAGCAGCCGGCCCTGCGCCGCGCTCAGCGCCCGCCGCAGCTCGGGGTCGCGGCGCGCGCCGGCCGACGACAGGCTTGCCGCGATCACGCGGCCCGCCAGCCTGGGCCGCACTCGGGTCACTTACGGGGCCCTGCCACCGCCACGCGCTGGCAGGCCCCGAACACTCGCGCTCTTTCATTCTTTCATTCTTCGTTTCGAAACAAGTACCCATAGCTTGTTAGTAACGACTTAGGAATCGTGTTAATATAATGCGATTCAAATATAAAATTACAATCGTAAGAAAGATGTAAAATACAAGAAACTTGAACTAAACCGCCACATGAAGTTGCAAGCACCCACTAGGGTTGGGTAGGACATGAAATTAAAATGAGTTTGAAGAAGCACCTCATTTGAAAAAATGACGCGGTACAATGTCCTACGTCAAATGAGGTGAGGTAGTGGTAAGAATGTTTGCACTTACAGCAATTACTTAACAGACAGAATATTAAGCATATTTCATAACTTGATGGTATCAATCAAATGGATAACTTAAGTGTTAATATAGCATAAATAAATGTAAATTTTATAGTACTATGGTAGTATGGTCATATGATGTAAAATCAGATAAAAAGCGGGCAATGCAGAACCATTAATTGTTGCATTTGCTGAATACGAAGCAGTGTGACATGAGTGAAACTGAGGCTTAAACGTGACATGATACTATGACATGAGGTGAAGTGTGAGGTGGGACATTTTTATGACATGAGGCGTCGTGATAAACCAACCAACCAAGCGAGTGGTACAAACGAGTTGCCTCGTGTAGGAGTAACTCAACACTAGCACCCACGCATACGTCGCCAGAGTTTTTTTGTATATCTGAATTTATATAACTGCCTCCATGGCCGAACCACCAAGCTGGTCTACCACGCAGAGGTCCCGAGTGCGATTCCCGGGCAGAAGAAATATTTGTTTGAAATTTATTTCTCTCGTGCCTTTGGGTGTAATTTATGGTTATCTATGTGTATGTCCATGGCACAGGGATTCCCGAGTGCGAAGCCACGAGTTTGTGCATTATTTATCTCTATTTATATTAACAAGGAAACAACGGTAGAAATACTTAAAACTGTTGCCTACTCACTCGCACCTATTGACAAAAAGGTAATAACTTGAGATACTCGTCAACAGATGTCGCTATTTTGTTTTCCATGAATCTTGTCATCGAAAATGTAAAACAATCTATTATCAAAAGCAATCGCACGATTAAAAGAATAAATAGTGGTCAAAATATACAATTTACTACAAGTTAAGTTTATGAAAAGACATAAGATTCAACAAAGAATTTTGTCTCTACGTTACCTGGTAATAGCATTTGACGTATAAGCACACTTTTGAGGATCATTCAACTTGCTTGTCTCTTCTTTCATCCTGGATATCGCTTCACCTAAGCGGAACAAAACGTTAATTTAAAAAATATTGACATTGTAGAATTAACTTTATGAACATCAAATGGATTATTAAATTAATACAAAGATCGAAAAACACAAAGAACAGAAAGATCAGCCAGGTACCTTTATAGCTACCAGAAGACTGATAGAGATGTCGTTATATTAATTGTAGCTGCAAAGGTAACTGGCTGAGTAAACTTATATAGTAAACTTTCATAAGTTAATCACAGTTAGCGCTGAAGGTAAGAAAGACGTTTAAGCCCAATCCAAAGCAGACACATAAAGAAATTCATAAAATCTGACTCGATCTTGTACGTCACTTGGTAAAATCTTAATACGCTACCGAACCACGGTGAGGCAACAGATACTGGTTCAGGTCTAGTCGGATCAAAGGAATTTTACTTTCATAATAATGTATAATTTATTGTCTCGCTACAATATTTTTGTTAAAATCTAATTTAGACAAATATAAAAATTTTAATTTGAGACAAAAGGCAGAGGCTCAACTTGTACTGGCACGGTGATGAGACTTGGTGTTGAGTCATGGAAAAAGTTCCATTTTGAAAAAAATCATATTTTTCAGAAAAATAAATATTTTTCCGGATATTTTTCCAATAATTTTCCTATATTTTCCACATTTGACGTTGACACCTGTCAAAAGTTGAAATTATGAACGAAATCGATGGAACCAATAAAAAAAGTTTGGCTGGTGTCATCTTAAATCTCATTTTTCTTTAAATTGCTTTTACCTATACAATTTTATTTTATTATTCATACAAAATACTCATAGTAAATATCATACTAAATACAACTTCAAAAGATCTTTCTAAATGAAAAATAATATGAGCCTTCGAATTATACTTTTCCAATTTTCCAGAATTTTATATTACAGTTGTATATTATAGTTCTGTACACAGAACTGTAATGACTTTTGAGTTCAGTAGCGAGCACCATAGACAACAGAATTTCTGTTCAGAACTAAAAGAAGCGCCTTTGTGACATGGTTTATGAAATTGTAATTGACAGATACGTAAATACCGGAGTAGAAAAAAGACATTAAGTCCTATCGTCGTTTGATTTTTTGAATGCCAAATTAAAAGTTTCATCCCCATTAAAACGCTTCATTTTAAAAATTACTATATGGCACATAAGGTTCTTTACGTACAGGTATATTCTAACGAAGTTTACCTGCAGTCTGTACAAAGTCCATAGGATCAACGGACTGGTCGCACAGGTCTCGAACCCGGGACATCGACTCGCTGTACTGCGCCAGCAGTTTCTTGTAATTCTCCACCACTGCTGCGTCATCGGGTTTAGCCACACGCTCTTCCGCTGCTTTCACTAGCAATGGCGCGAGGAGTTCCGTCTAGATCAAGTCAAAACAGAGTACACTTTTAAGGCTTGACCTTCAGACAAGCGAATTGAAGTGACCATTTTGAAACCCTGTATGGGCTGTTTCATTTCTGAATGTTTTTTACTTAGAATAATAACGCATAGAATGATAGTTTCATATCAAACGAACTGTCACAAGTGAGGCAAAAATCAAATTCATGTAGGCTAGTTTTAGTAGTAGGTTAATTTTCGGTTTTAGTGAATATTTATATGAAAATACAAGTTGAAACGCGTTACTTCCTTGTAGAATGTGACGTTAGTATCTATTTTATGTTTGTCTGACGTATTTTTACACTCATTTACCGCACATTTCGTCATTTTTAGCTAAAATTCTTGATCTGTTCGCGGTGCAAGTTGACCTTGAGCACTGAAGGCCCGCCCGCTCGTGTAGAGCGCTTCAATTTGCCTCACTTAGCGTGTGCGGGCTAGGTTTCTATGCGTTATTATTCTAAGGTTTTTTAATGATTATTTAGAAATTGTATAGGTATAAAATATTGGCTGTTTCCTCGAGCTTCTACTGTACTAATATGTCCTTATGCTCCTACCGTGACGTCGTATCTAATAAGTACACTGAACTAGAATAACAAAATTCAAAAATATCTTTATTTCATAGGTAAGAAGAAAATTACATTTGAAAGCGTTACTTTGCGCTCTTTCTAAAGGCAGATTCTCCTGAGAAGAATGATCAAGAAACTCTAGGGGTTGCTATTTTCTAATAAAAACGGAAGTAAATTAATTTGCTACTCCGTGAACCCAGTGAGGGTTAAATCGTGTAAAATGACTGGGCTTTTTTGAATATTTTTTTCTTTAAAGTTAATTTTTCCACCCACCCCCTAAATAAAGTTAATAAAAGAAATAAATAAGTACAGTCACAATCATGTGTTTTATAGTGTAATAAATCAAAGTAAAAATATTTTTTAAAAAGACTATAATAAGCATTGACTTACAATTATATGGACGTCGGGTCCGCGCTAAAAAGTGTCCGCACTTGTAAGGCGCTAAAATCGTATACAGAGCGCGACACTCCGCTTTAGTCTTCATTTGTTCTACTGACAGCGCGATACTGCGATGACATTACAATTTAAATTTCGAATAGGTTGACTTGGGACATTTTTTTCGTGGTTTTTGTATTAGACCCGTCGTTCATTTATTTGTAAGTCAATGATAATAAGAGAGAGAATTTGAAAAGTTTTTTAGCGAGAGTAGGTGTGTGACGCGACTACCTTCATCGTCATCCCACCATTTTATCACCTTCTTTACTGGTTCCTAGCCACTTACTTTTCAAATTTTGAATCGTTCTCGAATTCCTTTTCCTGCCACTATTTTTACGTTAATTCATACTGTCATCACTCCCATCGAAACTCCCAAAGCGAGAGGGCGTTCCTCAGATAAATTTACACTGTTTTAATGTCCAAAGAATTCCCAGAGGAATGCACGTCCTCTCTGTGCTGTGGGAGTTTTAAAGGGAGTGATAACGGATCCAACCAACGTAGGCATAGTGGACCAGTAAATAGGGTGATAAAAAGGTAGGATGATGATGAAGGTCAGCATCATCACAGGTGTTTCCGGTATAATGTTTTGTTGTCTTTGAAAATAACTTGATTGCTTGTAGCTTATAAAACAAAGAATTTGACGTCTCACTTTCAACTTCAGGTCTTTTTGTTAAAAAAATAAGTGCGCATTTGACTTCCACCGATGTCTTCTGTCTGACTTCAGTGGACGACGAAGCATGCATACCTAAATAATACCTATTCACTCTCGCCTTGAAAAGGTCCAAGTTACAACGTTCAGGGAATAAGTCTGTAGGCAGGGAATTATATAAATATGGAATTCTTGGAATGTCCACAACATATGGGTGGAACCCCAGCCTACTCCCCGGTGATGGAAAGGGGAAGGCGGAATGACTTCATGTTTCATTCCTTCAGAGTTTCTTTTAACCTGGCGCATGCTTTTGTCGAGCTCCTGGGCGATGGCGGGGCCGGGCCGGGCCGCGTCGGCCACGAACCGCGCCGTCTTCTTCACGCGGCCCAGCTGGGCCAGCAGCTCGGCTATCTTCCGCTCCAGAATGAACTTGCGCTTCGCTTCGTCTACGAGACACAAACAGCACATTCTTGCAGAGGCCGAGAAATAAAAGATTGCTGGACAAAGTTGTCCTAGTCAGGCCCCGTTCCCGCCGAGGTATATATAGTGCTTTTCTCAGACAATGCGAGGATATATTAAAAAATCCATAAAAATAGAAATAACAAAAAGGACCTTAAAAGTATTCTCTTATTTAACCGCCTGTTTTTAAAGTGTGCGGTGCAAGTATTATATTCTTATATTTACAGACAGTTTTTCTTTGGTCTATTTACGAAGTTCTTTGTTAGTATATATTAAAGAGTTTAGAGCAGAGAGAGAGAGATATTTCTTTTGAACCAGTGATGAAACCTAATGTGGGATTATGGAAAAGTTTCCATTTTGAAAAAATCATATTTTTCCGAATATATTTCCTTTCATTTTCTTCATGACATTGAGACATGTCAAAAGTTGAAGTTACTGAATTAAAACTATGGAGCTATTAAAAAAGTTTTTTCCGTTGTTGCGAAATCATTTTAAATCTTGTTTTTCTCTAAGTGGCTTTTAACTATACAAGTTTAATTTATAGTTCACGCAAAGTCAAATTTCAAAAGATATTTCTAAGAGCCTTTGAAATAATATTTTTCAAAATGTTTCCAATTTTATGGGAATTTTCCCGGAAAAAGTAATTGTAATTTTTGAAATTTACCCAACAATATTCATGTCTTTTTCATCAAGATTAATTTTTGAAAGAGTCCCGTAATTCGTGCCTACCTTTGGTATAACAAAACCATATGTCAAAAGTACGAATTACACCAAACAAGTCACGTACAAGTGATTCAGTGAGTTACGTTTAAACATAAAAAGTTGCTACCCAATTTCATTCATAGAATGTTTAAATCCCTTTTCTGAAAAATTATCGCTTTGCAGATGCGTCCTTGTTACACCAAGGGCGCCAATGACTTTACAAGAAAGCACTTTTCGAGTTGCTTTAGAGGGGATCCTCGGGAGGCAGAGGTCGCAGCGGAGCCTGACCTCTCTCGGCGTCGACGACGACGTCCAGGTCGGCCAGCGGCGCGTCGGCGCCGAAGTCGCGGACGACGCGGCCCACCGCGCCGCGCTCCACGCCCGTGCGCAGCTCGCGCAGGCGGTCCATCAGCGCGCTGCGAAACCGACAAATCAGGCGTCGCTCGCTGGGAACGACTGCGAACGGCGAGACGAAAGTACCTCGCGTTGTCGCTGTCATATTTCTTCTTGCACTCGGCGAATAGCTCTTTCGACTCCGTTATCAGTTGCGTCATTTCCTCTTTTTCGCTATCTTTCAAATCTTCCGCCATCTGCAAGCAACAATAAAGTCCCAATATTTAGATAATATAAATTTTATTATCTCGTGTCCTTCCTCTTGTGCAACCTTCCGAGAAATGCCTCAATTAGGCTCCTGGACGAGCACGAAAATTCCATCAGTGTCATCATCATTCCAGAGTCGCGTCAATTATGTACTTAAAATGTGACTACTTAGGTAAAAATCGTGATGTAGTTGCAAAATAGTGATTTATAGTCGAACCGTTGTTTTACAGTGAATAGGGTGTGTAACATGCACACACGTTGCATTAAAGTAATATAATAAGAAATAGAGACGAAATATCATTTAATTTGTTTGAAACTATTCAGCCAAATCATTACGATGACAACTGCGCTAAAATTGGCCAGACCGAATACAAAACAATTGACGGATATCGTCAATTATTTCACTTCAAATTAACCGGTTTAACTTGAGCTTTGCTATAATGGACGATAATTTAAAAACTATTAGAGATATTATCTTTATTACAATTAATACAGAATATTATTGGAATATACGGAGACGTACACACAGGTCAGTTGTTGGCGCTGTACTATTTCAGCTTTCTAATTTGTGATTTCAGCCCAAACAAGATTTAATATTTAAAAGTGATAAAGCCCATTTGCCTCATGATTTGCCAGGCATGGATGATGCATTAAAGTTATTGCGATATAGGTGACACCTCTTAAATCCTCCTTCCTTTACTCTCAGGAACCAAGGTAAAAAAAACTACACCTAGTCGATACTCCGTTTTAAAGATATTAAAAAGAGACTCGTGACCAGTAGTAGAACGTATAAATGGGTTGATGATGATGATAGGCTGTTTTAAAGATGTAAAGGTGTTTCATTCTCGACCGTACTATAACCCCATTTCTGCACAACCAACCTGTAACCTCTCATCACAGAATCGTAGAATTATTTTATTTTATACCAATGACGGGACGAACAAGTCGTGCGCCTGGTGGTAAGCGTCACGCCTGGAAATAACAGTTGCAGTGCCACTGTGAGCTTTAAATCACAAAGATCTAAGCGTACTCCACAGCCTTTCCTAAGGAGCTCTACTGCTACTAAAATATCTTCATAGAGATTTAAAAAATAGATTGCACAATTAGACCATTCTAATTGTACAAGAGTTATCGCAAAAAATATTGGAGATCCAAATTACTTAATAATGAAGTTACGACAAAATTAAATATAGAGGTATATAGTGCAAAAATTGTAGATAAGGATGGCATCCCTTCCTACATAAAATCAAACACGCCAACGTCCAGCTGGTGATTGTTAAAAAACTCATGACATTAATTATAATTATAAAAAATTTTATTAAATTAATATTCAATTATTTTTATGTGAAATTACTCCACTAGGTTGTTTTAATTATTAATGCAAAGATCGAACACTCAGAAAAAATTCCTTCGATCCGGCCGGACTCGAACCGACGGCTTCTAGCATACCGTGCCAGACGCTATACCAATTAAATCACGGAACGAAACAGCGACGAATATTGCTATGTGCATGTTGTCGCGTTTTTGTATATCTTTGTATTAATAATTATAACAAACTAGTGGAGTAATGAATCGTCGTATCTTTGTATTTGGTTTTTCAACGACTTGTTCGGTCTTTGTATAAATAATTATTAAATCTATTTGCCAAGTTTTATTGAAATCGGTTAACGGAAAGGGCGCGAAACCGGATTCAACCCCTAGACCCTTGGAGGTGGAATTTTTTCTCAAATTTAAATGGGACTAATGATGAGGTACCCTCATTCCAAGAAAATGAAAAGAAATAATCATCGGAATCGGTTCAAAATGCCGAAGTAATCTCAGAACATAATATTATAATTGAGAACCTCCTCCATTTTTTGATATTCCTTATGTAAAACTATCAGTCAAAAAGCAACAACCAAAAAACGGTTTCATTGTTTATTATCAGCCGTACCAGTTCGAGTTTGTGATACAGCATCTATATTTATAAAGTTTTTGAAGTTCTATAGGGGAAAATCCTTGGTGGAAATTATTCGGTGATATTTAATGTTAAATTAGCTATTTTTATTATAAGCTAACTCTAGCCGATAAACAAGACTGTAAGAAAGAAAATAATCTGACCTTTTCAGCAATATCAATAACGATCTGGGTTGCTTTTTCACCGTTCGCCTGGATTTCAGGCTTGGAAGGGCGGCGTTGCAACCACTTGTTGGCCACCTCCACTCTGAAATACAAATTTTAAACTATAACAATTATAACTATTTTATAAAAATAAACGGACCTTCAAAATTTGTTGAATTACATCTAGTGCCAAGTTTTATTGTTAATGGTTAACGTAAAGTGCCTTTAGCACATGCATTTAGTAGCCTTTTTTTGACATGACTGCTAATTCCATTCACCACAATAACGATCACTCATGCACACACACACACACACACACACACACACACACACACACACACACACATACACCCAGGATTTCCATGAACTGTTAATATTGTTAATATTTCTTTACCATTTTTTTTTTAGTTTCATCATTATATTTATTATTATTTTATCGTTTTTTTTTTCCTCCACTTAATGTCCATCAATGTCATATCAATATTGTTATTGTTTCTTTGTGATATGTATGTCTTTTAATTATTATGCTATATATACTATGCCCTCGTTGACATGTATCCCGCTCAAGACCATGGGGATTAGGGAGAGGCTGAAAAACAGCGCTGCGCGGTCTTATCGCCGTGCCAGCATAAGCTGAGCCTCTGCCTTTTGTCTCAAATTTATTTATTTTGTTGTATTTGATTAATTAGTTTCTTAAGGAAGAAAATGTTACGAGACAATAAATGATTTTTTATTATTTATTATTATTATTAACAAACTTTTAAAGTTCGTTTTTTTATAAAAGAAACTATTGAGTCTCGATTCACAAATCGACCCCTCCTATGTAGAGTATGTATGTCGAAATTGCCAAATTTACAGGGTAGCGTTTTAAAGTTCTGAATTCACTGAAAGAGTGTTCATCTAATAGATCACCATAGACCTCTAACCGATATTTAGGATTTAACAATACTCTATGTGAGTAACAAGCTTTGCCGAATAAAACTGAGTGATGCTAAAGTCACGTGTTATGCTCATTTCAGAGAATTCAAAAAGTTTAAAACGCTCCGCTGTAAACTTGGCAATTTCGGCGTACGATACTTTACGTAGGAGGGGTGGAAATTAATTTTTTCAAGGTCCATTAAACTTGTTAGTTAGTACAAAGAATCAGCAAATAAAAAGATCTGTACCAGATTGTTTAGACGACACTTGGCTAGGGAGTAATATTATATAAGAGCTGTTTATGTAAATACACTAGGTTCCTTCGCGTTTGGATACCACTTTCCACTTAACATCAGGTGGAGTGGAGTCATTTGCCTGTCAGGTATAAAAAAAAAAAAAAAATACAAGATTTTGGAGTAAGTAATAATGTTAAGATGTCGCGGTGGTTGGGATTTACTATGGTGCATCATTTTAGAATATAAAAATTTTTGCTTTAGTGGTGTGAAATAACTTTTGTGATCTTTCGAAATAAACAGTTTAAAATTAAAAAAACAAAATTGTAAGGTACAAATAACTCACTGCATCTGCACGTAGCTCTTTTGCTGTGTTTCCTCTTCTTCTTCTTCGGGCGCTGCTACCAGCCCAGCGCGATGACCGTTACGCCTGAAACACAAAACGTTCCACAAGTTTGCATGGTGTTTTTTATCGGAAATTTGTCTGATTGTCTGATTAAATCATCGTTCATCGTCGGTAATCCAATACATAACACTGTGAGATTTACATAAAATACCTGATTCGATTTCCGGTAAGACAAATTTAGTGGACGAATTTTTAAAATTTTCGTGAGTGTCGCTTTTGTCGAGAAAAAATGAGTGCTGTTTTATAGGGAGAAAGTGTGTGTTATTTTATTGGGAGAAAGTGAGTTTGTTTTAGTATTGTAAAGTGAGTTACAATGGTAACGCTGTAACAAATTAAGTTAAGGGTAGTCGTCGACAACGAAAGAGTCTATGTATGTCTGTTAAGTTAGGGGTAGTCGTCGATAGTCGTATGTATGCCTGGTTTTAAAGTTGCCACTGGACAGTCAAAGCTTGACCATGGAGTGCGTAACAATTCGAAATTTCGGTAAAATAATAATTCAGTCATGGGGACGAATAAGTCCAGTCCGTAACAGTTGCAGTGCCACTCAGAGCTTTAAACCGCAAAGATCTGAGGGGCACTGACACTGCGCCAGTCGCCCCGAGACGTAAGTGACAAGTCCCATGTGCTTGTAGTTTCACCAGCACCCTCATCCTTCAAAATCGATATACTGATATCTACATTACTGATTGGTGGCAGAAATAGGTAAGGTGTATACATTGTGTAAATGTACTCACTTCAAGATATTTATTAGATTTTCAAATGCTTCCAGCACGCCGGTCCTACCAGAGCTGAACATCACCCAGGTCATGGGTTCATCCTTATTATCCTCCCCATTATCATTTCGGGTCTTGACTTCTTTCACCAGGGCTTGAGTTTTGCTCAGCAGAGCTCTGTAAAGAAGTAAATGATATTTTTGTCACATTAAAAACGCATAACGTTTGGGGCGTGATTTTTGTAAATATAAAGTGGGTGCATTTGTGAATTAATGGTCATCAACCTATTTAAATCTCACTGCTAGACACGGATCTCCTCAAAAGTAATTCCCATAAAAAGTTTCATTGTCATGGGACTACAAATTTTTACCTTAAAAGCACAGATTCACCTTCTTTGCGATTTTATTATATGCTATTGCATTTAATCAACGCCTGGACAAGAGCAAAAACTTGACAAAAGTGTCATAACTGCCATCTGGCCTTTTCAAATATTACCACAATCGCATCGCGTGTTGGCACCATCTGTTGACCAGCGTTAAGAAGCAAAATAAGCGTCCGAACAAACGGAGTAACGAGTGCGACATTTCTTTGTATGAGATTGGGTTTCTGTACTAGTGTGGTATTATTTATTATCTGAGCTTATATACAGGTGGGACGCCCTCTAGGCGTTCCCAATATAAACTAATAATGACGTAATTAGCGCTAGTTTTCAGGGCGTGGACTACAACTAAATCAATAAGACGGGGTTCGCCACTCCGTAGTGTTGGTAGCACAGTCCACTAGATGGCGCTACTAACATCCACAATCCCACTTCGGACCCCAAAATTTTGCACATTAAAAATTCTTCTTACTTAGAGTTGCTGATGACTTCGTCTCCTAATGCCTTGGTCTCCGCAGACACCTCCTCCACGATTGGCACAACTGAAGGTCGATCCACAATTAAGTTTAGACCTCCCACGGAGTCTATCAGGGTCATTGTTGCCGTAGTTATTTTATCCTTAAAAATTATTAGTCGGAATTAACATCAATAAATCATTTGTTTCTGTAATTAATAGCTCCGATATCAAAGTATCTAAAGGAATTGTGTTATAGAAATCGGAAACAACGACGCTACCACAAATCGACTATGGACGTCATTAATTTAATTTTAAAACTACACGCAATAATACTGTTGAGTTGTCCTCTGCCTAAAGGACTATCTGGAAGAGATCACTCTTGGCGATAAGGCTGACTTTGTCCACATATTGTGACGATGCAACCTCCTTCCGTCGTCATCCCACCTTTTTATCACCTTTTCTCTGTTATTTGATTTTTAATTCGGGACTTAATCACGTATAAAACATATTTTAATTACCTCGACGTTTCGGACGTATTGCACCGTCCATGGTCTCGAAGGGGCTGAACAGGCGGGTGTCAAAATCTACGTGATTAAGTCCCGAATTAAAAATCAAATGATGTGTGAAAATTGTGAAACCTTTTCTCTGGTTCCTGGCCACTTGTTTTCAAATTTTACATCGTTCTCTAATTCCTTTGCCTCGTAATTCTCATTTTGTTTAGTTCGGTCGTCACACTCTGATTAATCGCTGAAGCGAGCAGTGCTGCTCGTCTAATTTTGACCCATTTACCAGTTACCAAAAATCTCTTGCGCAATAAAGGTTTAAAAGATCACAAAATACTTTAAGATATGTTTTTATAAAACCGGATTTACTTCCCCTATTTATTTTTCGTTTTGCTCAAAATGCAAAAGGAAAGAGAAATAGTGTCGAAATTAAACTTAAAATTTATTTTAACGATGTATGTGAAGTTTCCAATTCGCTTTGTGGGAACTATGGCCCAAGCCTCCTATTGCGAGAACTTCCAGCACCCATATAAACTTCTAAAACCAACAATGGCTGGTATCAAATGAAAATTATTTCCAGCATCTGGAATTCTTTTGACTAACCATGCTAACGTTGGGTTCGTGAACTGTATTATGAAGAGCCTTAGCAAAGGCGTCGATCCTGAAACCGTTCTCTGTCAGTTCTCGTTTGACATCTCCTTTGGCTCGGTTTGACGCCTCCTTTAGTACTTGCTTCAATTCTTCCACTTGCGTGGATAACTTGGATTCTTCTTCTTTTACCTGGGGAAAAGATTAAGATGCAGTGTCTGACTATAATATTACTTTTACAGAAAATGAAGAAATTCAAATGGTCAGTTATTGGATGAGAGGAGAAAGCTCGATCAATCATGATAATGTTCCTATCGTAGACCGCAACACTCGAAAAGATGATTGGACCAAATATAAATATAGGACGTCGATGGGCCAGTCCATTATTTTCTATTATCCCGTATATTACGCCCTTTCGGTATCTAGTCCGTAACCTGCCCTTTTGGTTGGAGTCAAAGCTAACAGTTACCAACTGCTACATATCTTTCAGAATTTAATAAGTCCAGTGCTTAGTACTGCTCCAAGTGCTGGAGAAGTAATTTCCGGTTCGTCTCCAGACAGGATCAAGTTAGGAAAGAAACTTCTCATTGGCCTGAGTAGCACCCTGATAGTGACAATTTTCTTGTTTGAGACAATAAATAAATACAGTAGAAGTGCTTAGTGCGCGTGACATGTGTGCCAACAGTACGCAGAGTTCTACATACTTGAGCTCAGTCTACCATTTTCACTTTGCACGTTATGGTCGTTTCAAGACGTCGTTCGTAACTTGCAACAATAGGTACTTATTGAAATTTCAACGATATGTCAACAGGGTAAAGCTTAAATTATATTAACAGTCCAGAATTTGTAACTACTTTTTAAATTAACAACTACGACCAATCATTATCATGATTTCATAGTGTTTCAAATTATGAATAGGTGAGTTTTGGCGACAGTGGTTCTGGTAGTAATCAAGGCTTAAGACAATTCGATTGTTTTTTTTCTCCCGCGTTTGAGATCAAGTAAATAGTGTAACTAACTGTCTAGCATAGTCACTTACATTAAGACAGATCAAAATTAGTTATTCCTCACGAAACTTACCTGTTCAATGCTTCCAGCCCGCATCATCCTGAAGCAAGTCTCCTGCACTGTTTCAGTCAATTTCTCTATCTTATTCACGTCAACCAGTCCTTCTTTAGCCACGTCCTTGTGTTGCTCCGATATGGATATGAGATAGGAACAGTGAACCGCGTATTGAGCAGAATTGCAGACGGATGTTGTAACGAACTG